ATGAAATCTCCAGAAAACCCTTTAAACAAACAAGTGGCGTCTTAAGCCAGACAGCTCTCGAGAATAAATATTCCACTGCGATAGTTTCTTTGAAAATGCAATGTAAGAAAATGTTAAGGGCCGAAGAGTAATTAGTTTGTGATTCTGACTTTGTGAATGTTTAGAATCAGCGGAAGTAATTCTCTCCAGTTTACTTTAAGGCGCATATATTTAATATTCCTCGTGACAGAGAACCTGATGCTTTGTGTTCTTATGGTATATGTATATGTGAATTGTATGTTTGTCGATTTGGTTCCCAATGCCTCATTACTAAAATGTAAAATTTAAAATAAAGATAAGCTCCAGTTTGAACCATATGAATGTTACGGATACGATGATTTGCCAAGCCAAACAGATGTGACATGAATAAATCATGTAAGTAAAGAAAACAGACATTAAGAACAGAGTTGTCTTCTGTTAACTTTTTACTCTTTTGAATTTACCCAGTTTTCCAGAGCAACACTTCAGAATATATTACAAAATGAATTTTAAAATGACCGCCACAGTGGTCTGGCCTTGTAATACTGTGATCCCGGGTTCAATTCCTGGCGGTGCTCAGATTTACAACTTGTGTTGGGCAAGGCCGTGGTCCAGGTATCACGGAGTTTTCCTCCGGGGTTTCTCCGTGGCATCCTAACAATTACTCCACTTTCATCATCTCACAAAAAAGTGGTCACAGCAGGAGCGTTAAATATCGCGGTCCCGATCAAACCCATGTACTAATGGGTCGTGAATCCTGCTAACTACAAATGCACACCATGCTGAATGGTGTGTACTGGATACAAAAGAAAATTTAAAATAAAATCATGTGGTAAGAATATTAATTACTTGTACAATTTAAGCACAGACCTCTGCTGTTCATGTATTTACCACAAGTATCCTGATCTCACCCTACATACGCAGTTATGGAAATAAGAACCAGTTCAGAATGGATTTGCCTTAGAATACACCTAAAGTGTTAGGAGTGGAATTAACTCTCAAATAAGTGGTTGTGGCTCAGAGTCATCCGTTAGATGGTCTGAGTATGAAAATAAAAGCGTCTCCAACCAGATGATCCTCCAAATAGAACTTCATAATCTGAAGTGAATGTTCTGATAACAGCTTAACCGACTGGCAAATTCATTGTGCTCTCAATCTAACTCTAAAAGTCAAACCACCTAGAGAGAATCCCACTTCAGAAGCTTGCTTGCCCTTTGTTGAAACCAGCTTTACTTGTATTAGCAGGACGCTATCTAAGCACATCAAGACACTAGGCATCCTCCCAAGCAAAATTTCTATTTTCCCATTACCTGTGAAGGATGGCTGAGCATATAAAGCAACCCCGGTAAGCGTGGGACACTTTACATTGGCCGTTCTGTTTAAATCAAAGTCAGAGATTAACATCATATCCAGAGAAGCTCAACATAGCACCAACATGGGACAGTGGACCTACTGAATGACACCAATATCGTGGACAAGAAATCTAGACATAAGGAAAGCAACAGAGATTTATCTCCATCCTAACATCAACAGAAAGAGTGATCTCTCCCTAAGCAGGTCGTGTAAGCCTCAATTACACGTTGAAGGAATCGAAGATTGTTAAAATTCCTGTGAAATTATCTCTGCATCAATGAAACTGAGCAATTGTTTGTGATATAACAATTCAACAATTGTTGCGTGCTGCTGCATTATGTAGCAGTTCATAATAATTTCCCAAGCCTCTACCTATTTTTTGAAGTAATAAATCCAGGTGTTTCAAATGAGATGATTAATTATGCGCCATTCTATATATACGAGGGTTACTTCAAAAGTCATGGCAACTAATTTTTTGGGGGGCAAACACGTTATATTGAAGAAAGTTCAAAATATACATAAGAAAGGGTACGATATACTCCTCCGATTGGCGTAGTCAGATCAGGTAGGTGTGAATGGGTGTAGGTATAGTAGGCAAGAAAAAAGACAATTTACGCGGAAGGTTTCCAGACTGCGCGTATAAAAACCCGTGCACTTATCTCAGGTATTAAATTCATCCATCACCCTCGAAGTAGTTCCCCTGGGAGTGAACACAACGATCCCAGCGCCGCTGCCAAGCCTGGAAGCATCCCTGGAAATCTTTCTTTGTCAGCCTGTCAAGCACCATCTGCGATTCTGCCTGAATCTCTTCTATCGTCTCACATCTCCTTCCCTTTAGCTGAATTTTCATCTTTGGGAAGAGGAAGAAGTCACACGGAGCTTAGAAAGGAAGTTGGGGTCGGTTCTTGCAAGATCTTTGAGCTCCTGACAAACGAGAAGTCGATTCTGCTTCTGGTCCTCAGACAGGAGCCTTGGCACAAACTTGGCTGCGATGCGTCGCATGTGGAGTTCTTCCTTTAGAATCAGCTGACAGGTCCCAACAATGTCGCACAAGTCGTTGATGGTACGACGTCGATCTTCGTAACATTTTCGGGCGTTGTGCTCGAAGATGGTCGTCCAGAACTCTCGTCATCATCGACAGAGGTTCGGTCATTTTTAAAACGTGAATGCCACACCAAAGTTTGCGGACTCCCCAAATGCTTGCTTTAGCATTTCATAGGTTTCCGTAGCCGTTTTGGCGAGTCTTTGGCCAAATTTGATGCACACGCCATTCCGAAATCGCAGGAGGGTCGGTGTAATGCACTACCAAAACGCCCGTAACTAAGAAACAAATGCTAATTCGATGATGCCGGCTGGCACACTGATTCACTATGAATGTAGGTCGCACCCCCTAGCGGCAGAAGCTCGTACTACATCCGGTTCGCCCTCTATTGACACAGTCTTGAAACTTTCCGATCGCACCTCGTACGTTGTGTATTTTGAACTTTCTTCAATATAACGTAGTTACCCCCCAAAAAATTAGTTGCCATGACTTTTGAAGTAACCCTCATATGTATGTAAAGTCTTGCGCATTGGCATCGTAGTGGACTCGCATGGCGGAGCCTGCTTCACGCTTGAATTAACTGAATACTTTATACACCAAGTCTCTGGCCTGCCTATGTAGAACATGATGCTGCTACTTTCATGTTTTAATACAACCAGCTGTATATCGGATGCAGAATACCAATAATTTGCTCACACATAAACACGACATTCACACAGTATACCATAGAAATATTGATGAAATACTCTCGGGCTACAAACTTGGTTTGTTCACGGCTCTAAAAGTGTGTTCCGTACCGAATGCACATAATATCCTCATGCGTTTTTAGCAACGTGCATTTGGAGGTATTAACACGCACTGTGTGATAGTTCCCACTTTGCTGCCAGATCGCAGCACCTCAGTATCAACTTCACGAATTACCTCATCCGTAATTTTGTCATCACCGCTCATAAAATATTCAGAACTACGATTTTGAGGCTGTGCAGAATAACATAACCTCCACATCGAATTTCATCCAAATCCGTCCAGTGGTTCTCGAGTTGAATCGACTGAATGAATGGACGGACGGACACGACCATCCCATAATTGGTTCTCACTATGCACTTCGTGCAAAGAATACACAAAACTTAAATTTCATACAATAAAGTTTTAAAAATGGGGACGTGTTGTTCAGACTTGCGAAAAAGAATAGTTTCTGCGTGTATGTTCACGATTATTCAATTTCGACCACAGTCAATTCGGTGGTGAGGAAATATTCTTCCCAACTTTTAAAACAAGATTTTCTGAATGATGCCTAACTTTACTTTTCAACATACACAGAAAATAATTCAGAATTATACTGCTTTGTGATTTCCGTGCTTAAGACTACGTTCTGTAGATTCCCTCGCCTTGATACTTATCAGACAGCCTCAGTACTTAGCTATTTTACATAATTCTTTAAGTACAAACACATGTATGGTATGTGTAATTATGTTTGTGATCATATTGCGCCAAATTTCACATGTAAATGTCAGAGTAAAATTAGGAATATTCATAATAAATAATTAGAGTTAACGGAGCTAAATATTTAAGGGCTGTGGCCGCGAAAACCCAGTGTTAGGCGGCCACAGATCAATGTATAGAGAACTCGACCAAATAAATAAATTAATTAATTCATAGAACACGCTAAGGACGCAGAACACGTCATTATACAAATAAAAATATTTTTTATAAATACAATGCCAACCAAATACATTCTTGAAAATGTTTATTTATACAAACAATACTTAAGAACGTTCAATTAAATTAAAACTGTTCTGGAGAGTAGAAAGAGTGGGGGAAAATATTTCAATGCTGACTTACAAACTTTTGTACGATTTCAACCTATAACGTGAGATGTTAAGCGCACGTTCTACAAAAGAACGACCACTGCTGAAGCTGGATGTTTCTTAAGATCTTTACTCCGCAAAATATCTAGACCCTTCGTTAATATATTCAGTAAAGACAACGGATGTTCACAGTTTATTTTGTCAATGTAAACATTAAGAATTAATACCGAAGATAAAATCACTATTTTTTTTTGTAATTATATAGCCCATAGACGGAAATCAGATTATAATGCGCAAATGGGGCCGAATACACGTCTTTGGAGACGCGTGACAGAGTTGTTTTCTTAACGATGGAGTGCAGCTGGTGAAAATTTCCGGAATTTAGTGTGATAAGAGGAGATAGTATCGCTCCCATCTCAGTAGTTCGAATGACAGACATGCTGGAATTACACAATATACGGACAATTAAAAAGTTCGAAAGTATGGTTGCCTTAGAAGCTTGACCTCCTTACTAAGTTGCGTGGAAGTCAGTCAAATGCTTCTAAAGTTGTTTAAGGAAGATATTCAAACACGCGGATAGGCCTATGATGCCATAATCTCACTTCTTCTTGAAAAGTAAACAGATAAAATATACGTTAACACTAAACTGTGATGTAGAATGTACGTTTAATATTATCTAAATGAATGGAAGAAAACAAGTGACGCGCTTACCCCGTGTGACTCGCCATGCTCCCCAGAACT